GGGGGAGGAGAGGGGGTAGGGATGAGTTATGAAAAGAGGAAAAGGGGGAAAAAGGGAGAGGGGGGGTTGAAGGGAGGGGGTCAAAGGTGAGCAGGGAAGTGGTAAAATATGACGAGGTGGGTGAAGATATTTGGGAGGGAGGTGTAGAAGAGAACGTAAAAATAGAAATGAAAATAGAAATTCCACTTTATTGACGGAGGGGTAGAAAAAAAAACAAGAAAATAGAAATGAAAAATAGAAATTCCTCTTTATTGACCCCCCGTGGGAAATTAGTTTTCAGATGGCGATCATAAATGCACAAATTTATTTATACATACATTCATGAATAACACACAATATTTATTTCACACAGAGGCAACCCAGGCAGAATTTGCTGGTCGCCACTGGGCCTTGTCTTATAATGTGAGGAAATAGGAAGACTTTGAGAGGAAAGTGGAGAGTTTGGGAGGAGGTGGGGGTGGGGGAGGTGAGTCTGTGTACTACCCACACCACCACCCTACAGCCGGGAGGGTGGGAGGGGGCGCCGCTGCCTCTTTCCTCCCCTCCGCCACCTCCTCGCCTCTCATCCCCAACATCAACCACGGGCTTGGGTTCAGCTCCCAGATGGCCGCGTGTCGCCTCGCCGCGCAATCCCCGTCCGACTGCGCCCTCCGACAAGTCTCCTCCTCTTCCTCCTCCTCCTCCTCCTCATCCTCCTCCGCGTCGTTAGCTGCTGCTGCTGCTGCTGCTGCTGCGAGCTCCTCCGGCTCAGCATACGGGCTGAGACCCAGCCCCACACAACCCTCACACAACCCTCTGTCCTCGTGCACCTACATGCAGCCCTCCCAGTCCGCCTACCCGCCCCACCACCTCGCTGCCGCCAACATGCACATGATGAACATGAACTTCCCGGGCCAGTTGGCGTGACGGCAACAACAACAACAACAACAACAACAACAACTACAACAACATGAGCAACAGTACCAACTTCAACAACAACAACAACAACAACAACAACAACAACAACAACAACAACAACAATAATAGCAGCAGCAACCACAACAACAGTAGAAACAGAATCATCAGCAGCAATAACAACAACAACAACAGGAGCAGCAATAACAACAACGACGACAACAGCAGCAGCAACAGCAGCAGCAACGACAACACCTAAAAACAACAACAAAAACAACAACAGCAACAACAACAACAACAACTACAATAACAACAAATAACAACAATAACAACAAC